GAGCTATACCGAAGTATACCACTAGTAGTAAGAAGTCTTACTGACCCCCAGAGTAAGTATCTTAGTAACGGAATAACAAGGTGAAATTGAGCGCGAGTAAGGAAAGACTAGATACATGGCTGGAATTTTCCCTCCTTTTATATCTCCTTCTGAGTGTACCATTTGTATACCTTACAGTGGTATACCATCGAGGTCCTCCAAGGCCTTTTGGTATACCTTTCTTGGTATATCTGGATGGTATACTTATACCATGTCACGTGATCTCCGATGGTATGTCTTTGTGTAGTTTCTGCCTCGCGGGGTAATTGTTTCATCCTGCATCGCTGTGTTGGACAGCGTTGTCTCCGGTTGGTTCATAACACGGTTATTTATTTCTTGACATTTCGAGATATTTTCTTTCAAGGACAGATCAACTGGGGGAATTGCTATATTCATTGCCTTCACGTTTAGGTGTGGAGGAGCGGTCAGCTGGTTACAAGTTTGGTGCCCATCTCACTTGACCCATTTGTGGCACCTTGAACGATGATAGTTGCTTAGGGATTTACACAGTTAGTCTCTGCTCGAGCTAATGGTGGCCCTGGGGATGAATCGATTCGATAGATGGTAGACCCGATGCTAGCGCAGTACATGCATTTCGAATTGGTTTGTACGGAGAAAACTAGAACAACCAAAATTCTCTCATTCATGCTAGCGATATGAAAATCACTACTCAGTAAGTCAATGCTCTAGATGACCTTCTTGTGGTCGGCTGGCCCTCAGAAAACAAAATCCCTTGCGACGATCATTTTTGACCGGGATCTGTCATCGCCCCATGGGGAAATTGTGGGGCATGCGAGGGATCATCAAGCTTTCCTGACAGGGACTTTTTCTTAAGCATTCGCTGACATGGTTGGTCCGGTACATTTTCCCGGACGGAAAATAATCGGGAATTCAGCGGAAATTTCGGCGGTCTGGCTGTTAAGAAGGAATGATTCGGGATTTGCAAACCAAGGTTGCATTCATTACAACTGCGAACAATGCAACCGTATCTTTCCCCATCACGGGGACTCAAGGGATGATTGTTTGAGACGACTGCTAGGAGGCAAGGTTGCATTGAAGAATTGCTCTCATCCAAAAGCACAATACACAGTTAAGTTCGCAGGACTAAAACTTCCTTGGTCTGATAATTGCAATTTGTCAGTAAGCTATGCAGGTTCTGCCCAATCATGGAGTACGTGCCATACATTCCTTAGGATTCGATTATCATTCGCTTGTAAATCTGCACGATGTCTGACGCATACTGCCGTGTGACACCCCCTTCTTTTTAGGTGTCGCCTTTCTCACAAATCTCACATGAGATAGCTTTCCACTGTATTCTGTAACAGCTTTGTACAGGTAGTCTTTAACAGAAACAGGCTGGATAAAGTAGTTTTTTTTTCGCTGTTTCTTGTTAGACATCTCCCCGCACCATTCGATCGCATATGTATATATACTTGAGCTCCAATATGTCGATAGATATTCTTCAGGTGGAGGAGTTCTATCGGATAATACTGCAAGAAAATGGTCTCTACGTAAGAGCCACAACTTGGAAATTATAATTGCAGAGATCTGAGCTATCCGTTACCTGTTTGTTAAAGAAATGTCAGCGTGACAGATTCTGGAGCTGGAAGGCGGGGTGCTTTACAGGAATGGGTCCGGTCCCCGAGATGACCACCGAACCAGTAGATGTATCAGTGACGTTCACTACGACAGTTCCGACAGTGAGCCCACTGACATGAAGCCCATTAAAGCCTGGGGAGAGGCTTTGTGAGCCAAGGAAAGTATTGCCAGACCAAATGCTAATGTTGTACGACTCGATACCGGGGCCAACAAGGACTGCAGCCTGCCAGATGACGGATTTAGCGACATTGAACGGACGTGAGAAGAGATAGTTTTCCTTACTGTCACAAAGTCCTGGGCAGTGTCAATTCCCGATGGATCGCCCAGAGAATCTGCCGAGCAATCAGCGGCAGCGAGCAAGGTATGATGCCAAAAGACACCCTGTGCACTCTTCCCGTTTGTCGGATACATGGTATCAGTGGTCGTGGCCCCTGATTTGTATGCCTTGATGAAGGCAGGAAGAACTTGCTGGTACGCCGTGTGGTCTAAGTCATACGTTAGTGGCAGCCACAAGCTTATACTCTTTAAACAAAACGGGATAAACGAACCGTAATTCTCGGTATACGCGGGGATGTTTGTCCCAGCGATCGGCTCGGGCCAGGAATTGCCCATGTAGTGGCTTTCTCCTGCATCATTCCAGGTCTGCAACTCCACCATGTCAGGCTGCAACTGGAGGACCTGACCGAATCGATATTCCAGATTTTCTTCTCCCCGCCGATACCAGTTGTCAGACGAATCCATATGTTTGAACTGTAGCGGGCTGACACCCATCATGAATGTCTTGTTGGCTGCACGGGCGGCGTTCAGATATGTAATATCATCGGTTGTTGGTACGATAATGTCGCCTTGGTCAGCGAAAGGCCACGAGTTCCAGTTCATTGCTCCGTTCAGGGAGGGGAATTCGTTGAAAAAGTCCGAGGTTACTGTAACATCTTGGAAGGCCGGGACAAAATACACCGGATGACCGGCGGCCTCCATGACGTCGAGGAACTCGACCTTCCACCCATCATTGACCGAGTCCTGGCCAAAAGTGAACGAGCTCGCGCCTCCCTAAACTAGTTAGATTTCTGTATAGGCCTTATATATGCATTTGCGTACATTGAACGTAGATACGAGAGGCAATCCTAAATGACTGGTCAGCATAGAGCAATTGATCAGAGGCTAGAAAGATTCGGCACGCACCGTTGTAGTAATAATATGACGAATTGGTTACGTAAGAAAGGAGGAAATCGGTAAATTGATTAGGATTGCTGAATCCAGTCATGTCGAATGAAAAGCTGGGTTGTTCAGGGAACTGTCTGCCAAAGAACGTATGAAGGAGTCTTACAATAGTTTGAAACCGTATATTGTAGCCCATTTGAACAAAGATTGCACTGTGTCGATCGCCCATGATTCGGTATCGGTGGCTAGTGTGTTTGAGCACGAGATCAAATTCCATATGTTCCCTCGTAAGCTTACCAAGGTTAAGAGCAAATGCATCGACGCCCAGCGCTTGGGCATCGCGGATGTCTTGTTCACAATGTTCATCCGTGATGGTGCCGATCTAATCCATTTTGATTAGAGCAGGCGACAATTTTCTGTATAGCTGGTACAATACCATATAATGGAAAAATCTACATCCAAAATCAGCTTCCGTATACATGACCCAGCATGGATATTCTGGATCGTTGATACTTACACTGGTCTTCCTGTCGGCCCCGATGTTTCACTCGAGGGTGGGCTGGTGGAAGTGGCGGTTGTAGATGGTGGAACTGGGTGGATTTAGTAACAATGAAAATCAAGCCACGAGAAAAGGTTTCTTACCAATCTGGCTCGAAGAAGACGAGGTCGGGACAGTAGTCGTCGAAGTCGCTGGTGAGCCGGAACCGGTTGACATCTAGAATAATGAAATTTCAAATATGAGCCTATTTTTCGGAATAAAAGGTAGTATATTATATATGTCTATATAGTTAACTTTCGTTCCACAGAACTTACCAGCCTTGCTGGTGTTGCGGACGCCGTGCTCGTTGACGCAACACAGGACCCAGCGACTTGACTATCGGCATTATAAACTCCAACGAGGTTCGTCTCGCAGCAGAAGTCGTTTCCATTTAGACCCTGCCACAGAGACCAGCTAGAGTCGGCGCAGGTTGGTGCATTTTCGACCTCACCGCGACAGTCACTGGCTATTTACATAATCAGTTTGGCGAGAGACAGATCGGAGTTATGCAAAGGGTGGTCAGTAGGGTCACTCACCTGTCAAACAGCACGCGGAGACTTGGTCTGTGGCAGCCGGATTGCAGTACAATGTAGAAGGACAACATCCACCGTTGCCGCAAGATACGGTATCAGAAGGGCAGACACTGGATTGCAGTGACCAGCCCTGGCTGATGGCACGTTTCTCAACCGTGCCCAACCGGTCACGATTGTTAACGAAGGCTGCTGATACGACAGAGGCGGCAAAAAGCTTGTAAAGGAAAGGGTTCATTTTCGATTATTTCTATCGATACAAATCTTCAGAATAGACTGGAAGTCCATCTTGATCTCTCTCACTCCGGCGTCGACCTGGGTTTTATGCATGATTTCGACCACTTATTCAACACTCGAACACAGAAGAGTCCTGCAGGCTAGTGATCTCCTCCACACGGTCATCCGGACAGGATGCATAATTGCTGCGTATCTGCCTTTGGTACACTCCCGTATGATCGGGTAGCCATAGGAAATTCAATGGACTGTAATATTTTGGGGTGGTATGGCAGAAACCTTATCCTCCATGCCCGCGTGTGCTGCAACAGTGGATTCAACGTTGAGTGGATGATCATAACGAATGGTAAATGAGCATCAACAAGTCACATGTGATTCCAGGGAATTTCTGGGGAGAGCCGTAGTCAGAGAGGCGTGGGGTAGCGGGGAACAAATTCCCAGGAGATGCCTCCTTAATTTCCATGCGGGGAAAAGATGGCACTGGTTTCTTGATGACGACAATAAACATGAGAACCACGTGTAGGGGCAAAGTGACATTCTGAAGCAGTATCTTGACTTAGGGTACATGGTCCATACAATCCTGGACGAATCAGAAATTAGTATCCTTTCCTCTCTCATTTGCACTTCAGACTACGCAACCTGCTGGAACATGTGAGACCAGACCTCTGCTGGGTAGCCAGAAAAAGTATAAATAACTTCGGAATTGACCATATGAACAAGTTCTCCCGGGAGAAATTCGAATGCGAATTTGGTGACATTCGTTAGATGATTAACGTAACATGTACTCTACACCGCATGTCGATCTACTAATTATCGAATCACGACTCCAGGCTGGGCACCCTCTCCATTTTCCCGAGTCACCCCAGCTTCGCAGCACTGTGGTCGAATGGGCTGCCGCAGTTATTCCACTGTCCTCCCACTTCGCGAGCTGCTGTCATGAGTATTGGTCGGTCGGCGAGATGGCATCGCTCGTCAGCCTATACATAACTCTGTTTCCCAAGCTGGGGGGCTGGCGAGCACGGCACGAATGCTCCAAACGTGCCCTGATTTCCTGAATCAGGCCAACGTGAGGGGAGGCCTGGCCAAGACTGTCTGAGACGTCATGTGGGGAAGCGTCCTTCTCTGCGCCAGCGGTGCTGCCGACATTATGGTTGCAATAAGAGCCCGAAGATGGTGAAAGCTGCTTCAAATTATGCTTACACGCAACACTAAACAGGTTGGAATCTATTCCCAAATTCAAGGCTGGTCTTCTGCGATATTCCAGCACATACTTGCACAGGGCGCATTACTGCATCTATTTTCTCATGGACCATTCTGACAGGACGACGTTGCACAGTCAAGAGGTAGCGTCAGATGATAAGGTATTATGGAAATGGACAAGTCTTTACAAATGGCATAGAAACATTCCTTTGCCTCTCGTTAGAGGCGCATAATACTATAATTCCGGATCAGGTGTAATAGATTAAAACTAGAAATTGCTATCTTCCTCTGAGACTAGAGGGTGGTACTCTTCTGAGCATTGAAGCCACTTTTGTGATCTCCTGTACCGTCCCCGAAACATACCAAGGAGATGTATGAAACTTGCCACAAGACAGCCTCCAACCAGGATGTATAACTCAAGACGTAAAGGTTCCTCGTCTATCCATCCCGATTTTCTCGCTGGAACGTCAGTGACACCAAGAACCTTGCCTTGCTTGTCCAAAGCCGCGACACGGAAGCGGTTGTTCCTATTGCCTTGCGGGATCGTGATCGTCGACTCAAAGCCTTCTTTTGGAATTCGGTCTGCAACTTCGTACTGTACGCCATTCAATTCCAAGCCGAGTTCTACCTCCAACTGCCATTCTGCAACCTCCGTGGCACCATTCCAGCTCACATAGATCTTGTTGCCGGCCCAACGGGCGGCCGGTCTGGTTAGAGGGTTGCCTACCCAAGGGCCTTTGTATACGCGGTAAGAAACCACGCGCTGAAATGTAAAGTACGCAGATGCGCCAAAATGGACGTCACATAGGAGAGTCCCGTTAATGTCAAACTCACTGAACGCAGCACTCGAACCCCAACCGATGAAAACATTGCCAGCGTCTTCCAGAACCTGCAAATTTCCCTGCGAGCTTGACTTTAATTCTTGCGGGTTAAAGTACTCTGTTTGAAGTGTCGCAAGTCGGGCGGGAATATCTAATTCAATGGCCATTCCACGGCTTTGTCGGGCTGGGTCGAGATGACTGTGTGCGCCGTTGTCGAGGATAGTCAACGTGTTGTTGCCGTGCCAGCGTGCATCATGCTGCCACGAGAAATTAGTAGCTGCGCCACCGGAAAGATCTGTAAATTCGTTGAGATGGCCACCCAGGGTCCATAGCAAAACACCAGTGTTGCTGTCGATGCTGCTGATCGTATGTGTGTTGCGCGCAGAGACAAGGTAGTTGCCCCATGGATCTTTGTCGACGCTATTGATGTGAAAGAAGTCAAACGCAGTCTCTTTGTTATGTCCACGACCGTCGAGTTCCAGAAATGAGCTGTTGATAGGGAAATGCTCCGAGGCGCGCCATTCGAAAATCAGCTCGCCTGTGGCGATATCGATCTCCTGGAAGACCCCGTCAAAGATCCAGCCTGACTCCGGTCCGCCTATGGACGACAGATCTGCAGGGACGGGATCATATATCGTCACGAGTGCGGTATCGTTCTCGGTAATCTTGAACTCATGTAGGTCGCCATCGAAGTCACCCACGGCGGAGACTACATAACGTTCCGTGTAGGACGAATCAAGCTAGTGACATGACTTTTAGCCATCTCTCCTCGCAAGATAACAATAATGGTTTTTTTGTAGAATTAATGTGATGATATTACCATATGCCAGGATCCCCGTCCATGACCTCCCGCTGCGTTACCGGTCCAGTATGTCAAATAATCGCGGCCTTGATACCGTTGGACGCGGAAGTCCTGAGTCACCTCATGGATCTCTTTCATCCAGACCAGATTGCCGTTGCTGTCCAAAATCATAGGGCCTGGGTGTGATATCGAGTCACCCCGCGGGGCGAGGAAGATAAATCCTGTCTCACATCGAGGATCCCACTGTAGAATATCTACAAGTGGCGACTCGTAATCGAATGACACATAGCTCTTTGTACGATAAAAGCCGTACAGGCCGAGGTCAAACCACCCTAGGTCCCAGCGGAAGCGGAGCTTCGCGATGACGAAGACGTACAGAAGAGATGATACGCCAATGGTGGAAATCACGGCAATGGAGAGCAAAATAATTCTGCGCAATGCTCTCCTTGGACGACGCAGACTCGTGTTGCGGCTACCGGCGACTGAAGCATGCCAGAGAGGGGCCATCGACACTGGTTGCGCTGAAGTCGCCAGGCTGACAGGCCTCTACCTCAGAGCTCCAGAAGAGAAACGAGCAGAGGGCATGCCTTGGTGATAAAGAGGACGTCGATCATGGTCTCTTTCCTATTTTTGTATTCCTCGGTTTAATCTTCCCGTCGCTTGCGCGTCTCTGGGGACACTGTTCCAGACATGGTAAACCTCTCAACCAAGACGGCACAAAGTTCTAGTCAGCAAAAGGGCGTGTTATAATAAGAAGCGCCAACTGCAGCTTCCTGGCATGTTCCAACGATTAAGAGAGACATTGATGATGCTGCTTGTCGAATGACACTATGCTAAGGCACATCTCTGACATTGTAACCGAGGCGTTCAAATCGCGCCTTGGCATCAAATGATATGACCTTGACTCGTCCAAGAATCATTCTGCCAGACAGCGAAACACGTGGATAGGGAGATGCTTAGCTCACAGAACAGCTAGAGCGGGTCTGATGTTGTTGCTGCCACCCTGACAGGGCAGGACAGCGCACGGGGACCGGAGCGTCGTCGTCAGCTTCAACTATATACCCCGTGGAGACACGTAGAGATTTTCGCAAATCAGAACCTGCAGAGCGGGTAGACAGCGCTTTCTCGCTCGCTTATTGGGTTCCTACCGATCGACGGAACAGAATAAAGAACGCAGTCAGTTTTTTAAACCGTCCTGCGAACAGAAGGAAAATAGCAACAACGCATTCTTTGACATGCATTGTAGGGACTGCATTGCGCATTCTAGGAGCAATTCTAATGCAATATCCAATGAGGATGTCAGGAACAAAATGCCAGATAAATCACTATGATTGAGGCGCCTGATTGGATTGTTCTTGTCCAGATAACAGCCAATCGTTGAATGCTATCGAAGATCTGTCAAACTAGCCAAACACACAGGTCACGTGAAATAAATTTGTTCACGTGACTCGCAGAATACCGCGGAAATCGGGATTACCTGGATCGCGTGTCACATGATCTCGGGGACTCCTACTTTCGGGCCCGACTTGAAGTCATGAACCCGGCCCGACTCCGGAACCGTGAATGCATACCCGTCGTGGAATCTGACACCATTTCGCAACACCGTTGCGTGAGAGGATATTCCGACTATCATGGATATTGTGGAGGCGAAAAATTATCTAGCGGGACAATTCGCTCTTATGTGGGTCTTTAGAATTCGATTTTTGACGCCCAATGCCCAATAAATAGCGACGTGCACTGTTTAAAAACATATTGCAGGGAAAGGGAAAAGAGCGAGACGTATACGATGTGCCTATACAACAAGACAGCTCGAAATATTATATCCGAGTATTTGTAAAGATATTACTGCGGGTTGGTGGTGAACCTACAGAATGTGTTCGGGAAACTCTCAGGATGATATATTCATTTCACAGATATATATTTCTGAGAAGCCGGACATAGAGTCAACAGACCGGACTCGACGAAAAATTGGTAACGGCGGTGATCGAAAAAATGCGGTTTGTCCACCTGGGTCATTCATAATTACCCATAGATAGACTTTTTATCATTATCGATACGGAGTTCATTGCAACTGGGGACAACCTATGTTCACATTCCCGGGAAGCGCAGTCGGCAAAAAGCCAATTCAAGTGTCTCGTGATTAGTGGCTTACCATTTTAGCTATTCACCAAGTTATGTTTCGTGTGATTATTGTCAGTTATCTATCGATGGGCCCGGGTCGCTCTGGGGTCCAGATTTCGGAGCATGTCCGTGTCTGAGGTATATGACCTGTTCTCCGCCACAATGCACTCCAACGTTGTGAGGATGGCGAGACCACGAATGGGGAAGTCCAAGGCGTTCGAAAACTACCCCAATTGCACCTTGTGATAGTGCTTAATAAGAATTGTTCAAATTCCCGATTTCATTGTGGGTAGGTCCTCTGCGTTGATGGAAGAAGAAAAAAAGGAATTATCACGAGAAAAAATGTGGACATGAGACTTGGGCACCGTCACTTGAGGCTTGAGACTAGGGATGGATTAGACTACTCCGTAGACAAGCCCTGATCGGCAGATTCGAGATCAGCGCCTACGGAATGATGCAATGACGCTCAGTTATGAGAAACAGGTACTAGCCAGGGGATAACCTTGTCAGTATCCCGAACGAAAATCTGCCTGATCCACCTCGTGCTAACTCTGTAAGGTTAGGGAATGCTCAAAATCAAATCTTCAAAACCCCTTCTGAGTGAAGATATGCTGATTTAGCGTCTATCTGGCGATTTACTACTCCGAATCGGGTTTTGTCTATCACAGATACGTCTGCGATCGCTGCATTTATCCATTACAGCTCCTACTGTCCTTGCCCACATCGATCGAGAATCTTACAAAAATTCCCCTCACCATCGTGGAGTTCCGTCGAACCGGATAGCCGGTAAAATATCAGCCAGTAAGAGGTATCAGAGAGCACGCGTCTAGGATGGCCGTTGACGCCAATGATGGGCGTCTCAATGAACAACGCTGTGAGAGATCAGCGTGGAGCCTTTGCAGGACCATGTCTCCAGTACCGCTGGAAATTTCACTCCCCGAGCCATCTACGCAAAGGAGCCAGGCCAGACTGATAACCATCATTACGAATTTGCCTTACAAACGATTTTATCCTGGTCTCGTCAGGGGATTTCCCATCTGAGATTCGGCGCTTAAACGGTAAAGCTGCAGGCTGAAAATATGCCGCAGCGACTTCGGAAACTGCCCTGCGATGCAGCATCCTATATGAACTGGTTCTATCCCTCTTCCCTTAGCCCGAAACGAAGACGCAGTCATTGAGACATCTTGGCTGTTTGTCTGCATTACTTCCTGCTCGGGTCAGCTTCCCGCTATTGCTCTGGACATTGATCAACTAGAGCTGGAAGGATCTCACCCTCCCTGATCCGCAATCAGTATCCATTTTAGGTCGAGTGCCTGAACGCCAATCAAGCATCATGGCAAGCCAGGTTGTCAACTTTACTGTACCCCTCGACCAGGCGTTTGGGTATGGCATAGTTGTTGGTCTCGGTTTTGCTTTCGCCTTCTTGATGATGGCTACTACTTGGGCTTTAAAACGGTAGGTCCATGTGGGAAGCAAGGCAAGAAAAAGACATACTCACTTCCGTACACTTTTTCTTGTTCCAATTGCAGCTTTTAAAAAAATTCATGTATACGCTTTTTCTCGCCGACTAGTGCTGACCTGCTGCTTCAACCAGATACCAGAATGAAATCCAGACGTCCGAAATGTTTTCAACGGCAGGACGGTCAGTCAGGTCAGGCCTGGTGGCAGCCGCTGTGGTGAGCAGTTGGACGTGGCCTGCGACCTTACTTCAATCATCGACTGTCGCTTATGAATATGGGGTTGCTGGTCCCTTCTACTACGCCGCAGGTTTGTCATCCCTGTATTAACATAAGCAGCAATTGACTCTTAAGCATAGGTGCCGGTGTCCAGATTATTCTTTTTGCAACAATTGCTATCGAGCTGAAAAGGCGCGCCCCCAATGCACACACCTTTCTTGAGGCCCTCCGCGCTCGCTATGGTCCAATTACCCATTGCGTCTTTATCGTGTTTTGTCTCATGACGAACATCCTCGTTACGGCCAATATACTTACTGGATGCTCTGCCGTTATATCTGCTCTTACTGGGATGCATACCGTGGCGGTCTGCTATTTGCTTCCCATTGGTGTCGTTCTCTACACGGTCTTTGGCGGCATCAAGGCGACTTTCGTTACAGATTATCTGCATACTATCGCTGTTGTGACCATCATCTTCATCTTCGCATTTAATCAGTATGCAGTTGGTGACAAGGGCAAACTTGGGTCTCCAGGAAAAGTCTACGATCTCTTAACTACGGCGGCGAAGGTCCATCCGATTGAGGGGAATTCTCAGGGGAGCTATCTGACGCTGAGGTCACATGAAGGAGGCATATTCTTCGTTATCAATCTTATTGGAAATTTTGGCACTGTCTTTCTGGATAACGGATACTATAATAAAGCCATCGCTGCGAGTCCCGTGCATGCCTTTCCCGGGTATGTTATAGGAGGACTTTGCTGGTTTGCAATTCCATGGCTTTGCTCTACGACCATGGGGCTTGGAGCAGTTGCGTTGCAGGGCTCTGACAAGGTGCTGAGTGCTACAGACGTTACTGCTGGCCTTGCCCTGCCATTTGCGGCTGTCGAATTGCTAGGCTACAGTGGTGCTGTGGCAACCTTGATCGTCGTCTTTATGGCCGTGACTTCAGCGTTTTCAGCGCAGCTGATTGCAGTGTCCTCTGTGTTCTTTTCGCTGCTGCCATGGCCAGCTTTGCGACTGGTCTCTACTATGCAGGTATCGGCATGGGCTACCTTTATCTACTGATGGGAGTCATCATTTCCTCTGCTGTCATTCCCGGGGCCCTGAGTCTGCTTTGGAAACAACAAAATTGGATTGCTGCTGCTGCTTCGCCTCCCCTTGGTTTGAGCGTTGCCCTCATCGCGTGGCTGGTCACCACCAAGTCCCTATATGGTGAACTTACCGTTACCAGCACCGGAGAGATCTACCCTATGCTTGCGGGTAACGTGGCAGCTTTGCTTAGTCCAGTCGTTTTCTCTGCGATTCTCACCTATGTCTTCGGCCCGCAGAACTACAATTATGAAAGCATGCGCGCCATTCGAAAAGTCGATGACTCGGATTTCGCGGACGCAGCACACGTGGATCTTGAGCTCATTCCTGGTGAGATCACTAGCCCTTCGTCAGAAGATATGACCGCGGAAGAAGAGCGGAAACTCGCAAGAGCCGCGATATATGCCCGTTTATTAACGGTCTTCCTGGCATTCGCATACCTGATCGTCTGGCCGATGCCGATGTATGGCACCGGCTATGTTTTCAGCAAGCGATTCTTCACGGGATGGGTGGTTGTGGGTATTATCTGGCTCTTCATCACCTCTTTTGGTGTGATCATTTACCCGCTTTACGAGGGTCGTGACTCTATCGCGCATGTAGTCCGGCAAATGTTCCTCGACATTACTGGCAGGAGGAAGCCTGGAAAGGCTGTCTTCTATAACCATGGGACGGATGTCCACGATCAGAGCTCTTCAACCGGGGCGGCAACGCCCACAGAGAAGTTTGGAGAGAAAAGCTAGAGCTCATCAGCAAACGCGCATGACAATTGTGTCTAATTCCGCAGATCAGAAGGATGAAGAGCGGGTGTCACTTACAATTAGTGTGGCTAGTCTAGACGAAGTTTCAGTTAGAGGCGATAGAATTGTCCTGTATAGACTTGCGCGAACAGTAACGTACACCGATATTAGACAAAGTCGATGTTTTTGACTGAAACTCTCCCCAACAACCACGTGTAGGCCATCATGCAAGTAGATGGAAATAGCTTCGTCTTTTTTTCTGGGCTACTCTGGCCTTCCCTCACATTTAGAGATTTGTATGTATCTGGCTGACAGTTAAAAGAAAGATCTAGTAATACCAGTCGCATTTTGAGTATTCCAAAGCCGAAAAAAAAACAAGAGATAGCATGTCAATCCGCTTTTGAAACACGGAAGCACAATTTGAGCATTTTCTCGCTGCCTTACATCACATACAGCAATGCTAATCCCGTGAAGCAACAGGTCTTGTCCTCGTAAATCTTTTGCTTTTCTCCGCCATCAAAGCTACAACGCCAAATAGATCCACCAAGGTCCGAAACATAGATATGCTTCGCCATGGGATCCACCTTGACGCCAATCGCTTCGTCGAAATTTTGTGCGATGATCTTGTGTTTTATGGGACCAGGTTTCAGAAGAGTAGCATTGCCAGAGGCATCCAAATCGACCTTATTTAAGGTATTACCGAATGGAAACTCGCCTCTATCGGTCCAGAAAAGGATTCCACTGTCTTCATCGATTTCCAGGTGAACAGGTTCGGGAAGATTGTCGAGGAGGCATTGAATATCGGCTCTATTTCCGACATCGCCTGGAGGAGTCATGATCTTTGCGCTGAATATACGACCTCTTCCCCCTTTTGATGGTCCTTTTTGAGTCCAGTAGAATCTGCCATGCTGCTGAGACACGGCAACTCCGACGCACCATTTGGTTTGGTCATCTTTCTCGATGTGCCAATCACCGGCTTTCACAAGTACTGTAAGGTTGCTCCCGTCAAGGTCGCATCTGAAGATGCGCAACCCTTCTCGATCCGCAATATAGATTTTATTTGCCAGCTGATCAATCACCAGCTGCTTCGGAGTGTGTACGCTTCCTACGGGAAGTATCGTTCTCAAGTCTCTGCCATCGGTGTCGCAGGACATAACGCTTCCATCGTTACGATTCGGGAAACCCATGTTTGTCCAGTAGATTCGACCGTTGGCCTTGCAGTAATCAATGCCGTCGACACCAATCAGGCCTGCCTTTTCGACAATTGGCTGAACAGACATGCGATCCTGATCAAGCTGGAGGATTCGACCAGCGGAAAAAATGTCTTGAGTGATGTTCTCTGGTAATGGCTGCGAGAGGCCATTGTCAAGAGCGAGAATATTGGGTTTGGTAGATGATGGCTGCGATGCCACAAAGCTCCTGGCCATATCCTGCAGAATAAAGGCTAAATGTTTTCTGACTTTTCCGTATTTGATGAGAATAAGCGTAATCCCTATAGAAACGTTGACGACTATCTTTCATTTTGTGAAGTCTTCAAGAGTGTTTATCCGGCAAGTCCGAAGCATATCTAAACTCTGATGTCATTCTGTTTTCCACCGTACGGAAGAGAAATATTATCTCAGAGCATCTTCCGACGTAGAAGACAACTATGAATATTAGCCTGATCGCTCATAAAATTTTATTAGTTGTAAGTCGCACAAATGAGATTGTCTATTGTAGCATGCTTACAGCCAGCGAGATATATATAGCTGGTGCACGTGGCTATTGTAACATCATAGCAAGGTCCCAGAACTGACACGAAGAAGAAACCTTAATGTCGACCTGGACATGAGCATATAGACAGAGCTACAGGTACGGAGACATGCCACACTTAATAAGAAAACTGAAGATCATGTTCCGGAATCTCATCTTCTCAAATTATTCACAAAGGCAGGGATACTTCAAATTCGTAACCCATCAATTTAGTCCGTCCGCAATTCTGGAATTCGATTATTTTTAAGACGGGTATATCTGTGCATGATTTGTAGTAATAAAAATCGAGTAGAAATCGTATTTCTATTAAATTGACATGTCAAAGAAAATTTGTCTTCACATTCCATCCTGCTACATGCCACGTTCCACGCCTGGGCCTTGCTACTTCTACCTGATTTTGTGACTGACTTGCTGAACAAACAAAGATATTTCGCCCATAGATTTGAGAAAAATCAAATACGCTTTGACCCGCGGAGATGCGCGCTCCAACAGTCCGAGATAACGCCGACAGGGGAAGTAACCCTGTATTCGATCCCCAAGGGAATTGTGCACATCTTACGTATTTGACCATGCTACATCCGCAAATACAATTAGTTTTGGTTACATGAATCCACTCAGCAGACAGATGCGGAGTACTCTAGGAAGGCCCGGAAGTTACAGAGTAGTAGTATTCTCCGTTTACGTCGTCCTTAACCAGTGGTGACTAACGACCAGCAGAAAGTAGTAGGATGTGCTGGAGATATCGGAAAATTAGCAAAAACTCTACCATCTTAAGTAATCTAAATGATTTCTCGACTCTCGAATTTTTCAACGTCCGTTCGTGTCTGTATAGTTGTACCGTATACATTTGCTCAGATGTAGACGCCGCTACATATAAGCTGCGAACTTCAAAAATCCGCGACCAATGATGCGATTTACAATTTCTGAAAAAACAATATTAAACATGATAAATAGGAAACGAAGTGCTGTCATGGCTGCGGGAAAAAGGTCTGATAGGATGCCGGATGCGGCAAAGATGCGGAGTCGTGACATCAACACCAATCCGCTGTCAATTATCCAACTCGGACCACTCATTATATATGAAAATGCGATACCCTTGGTCAAGATGAGGCGTTGCTCGTGTTTCCCCGAACTGCTAATATATCGGTCGCCCAGAGCTGAAATTTTATAAAGTCAGACAACTTCAGCGTTGAACTCTGGGCTGGCCGCCTTTTCAACTCTTGGCCTTAGTTATCCCTAATCGACATGGCGTCAAACGAGAAAGAGAAGGTGGTCATCGTGGGTAGTGGCTGGGCAGGCTACACTCTGGCCTACGGCCTCGACCACAGGAAGTACGACATGACGGTCATTTCCCCGGAGAATTCCTTCGCTGTCACTCCTTTGCTTGCCAGCGCAGCCTGTGGACTGTTTGATTGTCGTCTGGCCCATGAGCCAATTCGACGCAAGGACCTCCACGCCAAATATATGAAGGCCTACGTGACCGACATCGATTTCAAAAACCAGATCGTGTTCTGTCGACCGGCATTCGAACAGCTGAAAAATGAGCGACTAGAAGTCCCTTACGACAAAGTCATCATCGCTCCAGGTTGCACTACCAATACTTTTGGCGTACCTGGCGTGGAGAAACACGCTATATTCGTGAAGAACGTGGCCGATGCCAACATTGTCCGCAGTCGGCTCAACGATAACCTGGAGATGGCCTCGCTTCCTTGCACTCCGGAGGCAAAACAGAGGCAGTTGTTGCACGTTGTCATTGTCGGTGGCGGTCCCACCGGTATCGAGATGGCGGCCGAATTGACAGACCTCTTTGACGGGGATCTGGGGGCGCTTTACCCAGACCTAAAGGGCAAAACCTCAGTGGCTGTCCATGATGTCGCGCCTCAGATCTTGTCTCCTTTTGACCGCAGGCTTCAGGAATATGCCACCCAGACGCTGCGCAGCCACAAGGTCGAGATCAAGGTCAATTCGCACATTACAAATGTGACGGCCGACACTATCGAGACAAGGGAGGACGGCGTGATCGGATACGGCATTCTCATCTGGGCCACCGGAAACAAGGCCAGACCGCTGGTCGAAGATCTGAAGACGTTGAAGTCTGATCACGGTCTGAAGCGAATTCTCACAAACGACAATCTCCAAGTTCTGGCCCCGGACGGCACCGTGATCCCCAATGCGTATGCCTTGGGCGATGCTGCCGATATCGAGGGGGGCAGCCTGCCGACCACCGCTGAAGTGGCCGTCCAAAAGGCGGATTATCTGGTGAAACATCTGAATTCAGGGACCTTTACGAGGCCGTTTAAGTACCAGCAAAGGGCACTGGTGACCTACACAGGCCGCAGGGACGGCGTCATAGGAGGGAAGCACGACTACACGGGCTATGGTGCTTGGCTGAGCTGGAGGTCTGGAAACTTCTTCTGGACTCGCTCGTGGCGTCGTAGGATCCTGATGTGCTTTGCATGGCTCATGGACTGGATCGACGGTCGTGAGATTATTCGCAACTGAAGACATGTAACTAGAACCTGGCTCTGGATATATGGTTTTTCTTCGGAACTTGGTCAGGCTGGGAAAGAGAAAATGTGACTGGTTTGTAATATAACATGGACCTAGCACGGTCTATAGGCTAATATCAGACAAATTGCCTTTTCGCTGTTCCTTAGGCAGTCTCAAGATGTTCGGTATCGCCTCGGAGCTCTTCCTTTGCTCTCATTTGATCTAGAACGGCGGCCGCTGTACTGGTCGACGCCCCTCCACCAATCTTTGCTTCTTCACCATCAAAGTACTTGGCGATTTCTTCAAGAGGAGTATTCTGCGTAGAGTCAATAGCATGTTATATTGCGTATAACTCTACCAACTTACCTTTGTCTCAACCCACAGAAAATATACGACGACGAATATCACTGTCAGAAAGACATCGTAGAACTGTCAAGCGTCATTGATTAGATTTCTCATATCCACCATGTCCGGAGATCGTGTGTTAATAAGGACACTTACAATGTAAAACTTCCATCCGGCATTTTCAACGCCAACAGGATTGATGTATTGATTCAAAACTAGGATTCTCATATTAGACATGTATTTGGAAGGGCGATCACAAACTTACGTGAGCTGCTGACTCCGAAGAAGGTCACACTGAGACCCTTGGCTCGGATCTCGTACGGTAGAATCTCGATCGGATAAGCAATGACAAGCCCTTGCCTGGGAGGAGTGTCAGAACCGCATGTCAGTGTGTTCCATAGGCTCCTACCATCCGCAATTAAACGCTGTATAAAAGAGGAATATCATCACGATGACGCCCTTTGCATCTCCAGCGTTCCCAGTAATGTTGTATCTCGCCGAGAGGGCAGTCCAGATGGCGAAGAAAACAATCATCGATCCGGTGCTGCCAAGGACCATGGGCCGACGGCCGAAACGATCAATGTTGAAAGAAGCCCACATGGCGACGATAAAGTTCCAGATCTGCAAGCCGCCATTCAGTCCGGCCTGTTCCGAACTGGATGTAATGCCAATTGTTTCGAGGACAGGAACCAAATAGTAGGACACGAGTCCGTTGCCGCACCACTGTGAGAAAAATCCCTGCAGGTAACAGATCAATGTCCGCTTGCGGTTTCCCGGAGTGGAAATGAGGTCCATCCAGCTGATACGGCTGGCGAATTCCTTCTCCAGAGCGAGCGTCTCTTTGATCTCGACAAAACTTGCTTGCACGTAATCTGTCATTTCACCATTTCCGTGGTATTTCTTTAGGATAGAGAGCGCCTCTTCATGTCGATCGTTTGCAATCAGGAATCGTGGTGACTGGAAATTATCCTCAGGGTATGTTCTTAATATCTAGCTTGTAAATGTCAGCGGCTCACCTCTGGAAGAAGCCATATGAGAGCAATTTGTATAACCGCTGGGAAGGCTTGCAGCAGCGAAGGGATGCGCCAGGCCCAGTCGCTGTTTATGTTGATGGTCCTGGAAAAGAAAACGATAAGCCTCAGGATCTTACACTGGTTTGCTGCAACCTACCCAAATGTCACCCATGCCGCAACAATGGAGCCAAAGTACCAGGTCGAGTTATAGATGGCCGTCAATCTCGCTCGATGCTGAGTGTGTGCAAGCTCTGTTACCATCAGTGGTGCGCTTCCATGATCGATCATGACTGTGATAATGTGAGTTTCTCTGTTTCGCGAAGCGGTCGAATGGATTCATGCATACCACCAAATCCGATGATAAACCGAGCTCCGACGAACATGCCAACTACACACCAGTTTGATCAGCATACTGCCTGCGTATCGCAGCTGTGAGTAGCTTACAATTGATACTTGCTGACTGGATCGCAACACCTATGATGGCGATGATGCTCCCGATAACAACGCCCGAGCGCCGGCCAAGTTTGTCCGCAATCGTCGCAGGAAAGGGAAAAGGTATAACGGCAATAAGCTGACCCAGTGCAAACGACAGATTGTAGAAAGCGAGAAGAGAACCTCGAGGATGGCCAAAGTAGTTTTGCCATTGTTCGCTGGTCTGCAGTGCGTTCATCATGGAACCATCGTACCCATTCACCATGGACGTGATCAACGGGATGACGAGCAGAGCATACAAAGTACGAAGGCCGGGCTCGCGCCACCACGTCACCTTGGGAAACGTCTGGTTTCCCAGGGTGAACGTGCCTTTGGATTCCGAGGGAGCAGCGAGCTTGCCCACCATGGCTGTAGGCACCCGAACAATGAATGCAGAAGGTACAGGACTTTGTACGTCCAATTGAGGTCCAGTACACAGGACTTGACAAGTACTCGAGCAGCAGAGGCATCCGCCATCCTACATGTAGCTCTTATAAAGCAACCCCTTCTCCCTGAACGCGGGGTAAGCTTCCCCTGCCTCATTATCCTTGATTCGGACTGGGTTCATGGCCAAGACAGTAACTCGGATTGGCTCCATAAGCTGATATTTACCGTAATACGGAAGGATACCGATGATGCGGACGAAGAGGTCCACTCGGCCGGGAGAAAGGTTGGATAGCAACTTCAGTAAACGAGTGGCTATCCACAAGAAAGGAGCGCTCCATCATAGGAACGTTCTCGAATGCACCTGACTGACTGTAGGATGGTATGAGAGTCATGAACCAGACCAGAGCCTCGTGATTGACCAGAAAAGTATTTTGCCGCGGAGAACATTGCCTAGTTTGCGACATATAAGGAAAGAATATGGCATCGACTGCCATATTTGGTCATAGGAATCCGAGGATCAGCGGAGCATTGATGCTACACGGAAATCCTTCAGCTGCCAAGTAATAGTTCCAGAGGGATGGGCCATTCAAATTCTACCAATCATATGCCAAATCGTTCTGGAATTGACACTAAAACCCCGGATTTCATGGTTGTCCCCGCACTCTCGCTCAGTCTCGGATGTTCTTCCGGTCTAGTCTCGTTGGTCCTTACATGGGCTGGGCTCCGGCGGGTTTCTCGGAGTGCGGCCCAACATCAAATTGTACGTCTGTACATGCCTTTTTTTGTCGAACTAGATCAGATTGATATCTTTGCATGAGAGAAATTAGCTGATTGAATGACGTGGTCGCTATTGTGCTGTGTATGCATGTTCTGCGGGCGTGGATCCTTTTGGACCGCGATAGAAAACTAGAAGATCCAGGATATGTTATATATATCTCCAGAATTTATTTTTCGTTCACTAAGTAAAAACACGTACCAAAAACTTCTAGATAAGGAGATATCATATTTCGCTCGCGACCACCATGTCCTCGTTCCCATATCTTCGAACCGAAATCGACACCGGCTGGACGTTCAAACAAGCCGATGCGTCTGATCAAGAGTTCCTACCTGTTGCCCAGTTTCCCACCACGATCCATCTCGACCTTCTCCATCACAAGCGCATCCCAAAACCAACCCAGGATCGAAACTCGGACAAGGTGCAGTGGATCGGTGAAAAGAAATGGCTGTACAAAACCAGCTTCTACACGCCGAAACCGCTCACGCAAGAGGGCGGTATTGTCAGCCATGTTCTTGTCTTCGATGGCCTCGATACCTATGCCACTGTAACCCTCAACGGGCACAAGATCCTGGACGCCGCCAATATGTTTCTACAGTATCGTGTGGACGTCACGGACAAGCTCCGCGAAGATGGCCCCAACGAGCTCACGATCCTTTTTGATTCAGCATTTCTGGTGGGCAAGCGGCTGGAGAAGGAACAGGGGTACAAGAATCTGTTTTGGAACGGTGATTCCTGCCGCATGAACGTCCGAAAAATCGCGTGTCATTTTGGCTGGGATTGGTGAGTTGGCGTTCCATCTGTCTTCTCACAGCATCCTAATGATATCGATGTAGGGGACCAACACTGTTGACCTGCGGGCCATGGCGACCCATCTACCTCGAAAGCTTTACTGCACGTATAACGGACTTGAGCGTCGATATTGCTGTCAATGACGGGTTGGATGCGGCGGAAGTAAATGTCGCTGTGGAATTGGAGGGGAAAGCTTCCAAAGACGCTGCCGTAGAAGTCGCAATAGCTGACCCCGAGGGCAAACTTGTATCCCAGGCCGTCGTCCAAGGCTCTGGGAGTTGCAGCTTCACCATCAAAGACCCGCAACTATGGTATCCTATCGGCTACGGGAAGCAGCCATTATACTCTGTCTCGGCAGCGATCAGTGGTGGACACAAGGTAACACGTCGTGTGGGATTGCGACTGCTGGAACTTGTCCAGAAACCAATCACGGAAAAGCCCGGGAAGACGTTCTTCTTCCAGATAAACAAGATACCCATCTACTGTCGCGGTTCCAACTGGATACCAGGGGATACCTTTGTTCCCCGATTGACGCCAGCGCGATATCGACAGTGGATAGAGCTTGCTGCCAGCGGAAATCAGAACATGATCCGTGTATGGGGCGGGGGCCTGTACGAGGACGACGCGTTCTATGATATCTGCGACGAGAAGGGTATCCTCGTCTGGCAAGACTTCATGCTGGGCTGCGGTGTGTATCCCGTCAACGACTTCATGCTTTCCACCATCCGGGCTGAAGCTGAATATAACATTCGGCGAATGCGTCATCACCCATGCATCGTGCTGTGGTGCGGGAATAACGAAGACCACATGTTTGCTGAGCTGCATCACTTGGAGTACGATATCAACGACAAGAATCCAGAGAACTGGCTCAAGACAAACTGGGCAGCCCGCTACTACTATGACAAGATGCTACCCGACATCTGCGCAGAGCTGGTGCCGCGAGTTCCATACCACAACAGCAGTCCGTACGGAGGGTCATACAGCAACGATCCCACCGAGGGCGATATTCATTCCTGGCGGGTGTGGATGGCCGATCAGCCACGGTATCCGTACCAGGACTACGAGAAGCTGACGGGGCGCTTTGTGAGCGAGTTTGGAATGAAGTCGTATCCTGCGGTGCGTTCGATCAAGCAACTCATTACGGACCCAAAGGAACGGCATCCTCAGTCACGTACCTTCGACCTGTGGCACTTCGCGCCGGAGGATCAACGAACGATTGCGATGTACCTTATTGACAATCAGCGTCATGGGTACTCGCTCGAGGAGTATGTGTACGCACCCAGCTGAACCAAGCTGAGGCAATGGACTATGCCCTGCGGGCATTTCGGCGTCTCTGGCGAGGGCCAGGCGCCGAAGAATGCGCAGGAAGCCTGATCTGGCAGCTGAATGACTGCTTCCCGGCGGTGAGCTGGTCTCTGGCGGATTCATTTCTGCGTCCAAAACTGGTCTATTATGTAGCCAAGCGGGACTTCGCTCCGGTGATAGTTGGGGCATCTAGGACTGTTGTGGAGCATCCAGAGAATGAATTCACCAAGGTTTTCATCCGCCGGACTACATACGCAGATATCTGGGCATCCAACGTCACTACTGAGCCTGTAAATGTGGAACTCACGGTGTCGTTCTTCTCCGTTATTGACGGCACGAAGCTGTCCACTGTCGTCGAGGACATTCATCTTCCTGCAAACCGCTCAATCGAGCTTAAGCGCATTCAGTTCTCCGACGATTGGGGCGTTCCGCCAGAGAGTGTCGTCGTCTTCACGAAACTGACGAAGAATAATGAGATTGTTGCCCGGTACGTCGAGTGGCCACAGCCGCTGCGGCATTTGGATCTGTCAGTGGCAAAAGTCCATTTGCGGAAACAGGATACAACCGCAGACAATAAGTTGGCGATTTTCGTGACCGTCGAAGGAGGCGTTGCCAAAGGCGTTGAGCTCCGAATCGACACAGAGGATCCAGCCCTGGCGGACGCGTGTCAGTTTAGTGACAACTGCCTGGATCTCGTTCCTGGAGAGGGGCAATGCGTTTTCGTCACGACGAAGAGCGACAGCGGTCATTCCGTTGACTCGATTAAGATCGTTGAACAGCATTACGGGGGCAGTAACGCGTAAGGAGGCAAATGTAAATGGAGAGAACGAGAAAGATCAATTGTTCAGCTGATGCATTGTGTGTTCGAAGACTGCGGGCGCTGCGGCCACTGTAAGGACTAGCTGTCTTCACCCAAGCCTCATCAAGTTGCACAGGAATCAGCCAAAAAGTTGAAGCTCAGTAAGCGGAGATGAAGGGAGTAGAAATAAATTCTCCTAAAATAAAAAAATTTTACTCGATAAAATTGGCGTTCCAATTCAGCTCCCGCAGAAATATATTTAATTTCGCTGGGATCCCTCATACTCCATATTCAGAGAATAAATAATTTGAGATATTAGTCGAACAACAGTCAGTTAGTTGGATATCTCTAACCAAATTCTACATATTCATTCGTCACAGCATGTAGATCTGTCCACTCACAATCGCTATCTACAGACGTTTCCACATAACACACCGTCTCGTGATATCATGTCCCTTCTCCCTCTCGTCTTCAAGCTCCTTGACATGCTGCACACCAGCTGCTGCCGGTTCGACTTCAACAAATCCCAGTTTGGCATAGAACTTGCCATTCCATTCGATGTCTCGATACGTCGTCAGCGAAAGATGCGAAAAACCCTCCTGTCGCGCCTGCCGCTCCATCTCAGCGATTAGCTTCGTTGCTATGCCCTTTCGCTGCCATTCCCGGTGTACAGAGAGTTCTGCAATGTAAAACAGCCCGTCCTTTGGTTCTGCGGCGGAAAAGGCCACAGGGACGTCTGACGTGACTGCGACCCAGACGCGATTTCTGGAGATCATCCTGTGGAGCAATGACGGTTCCATCGGCGGCATATCGGCGATCCAGCCGAGGTTCACGGTCCGGAAGAGTGCGGCAGCAGAGGTCTCGACGGCCGCGAGGAAAGGCACGTCTTCAGGACGTGCATGCCTGATAGAGATCTGATCATCATTGGATGGATTCGTGGCCATTGAGGGCTATCACATCAAGATATATTTTGCTTTCTTGTCCTTCAAAAAACCATCCAACTTCCTACGAATAGATATGTTGGCGAAGGTGGGGCAAATGTCTATTCCCTTGGTCAACGTCTGACTAAATTGTGGCGAGCCAATGCGGTTTGCAGAAACGCCTGACATAGTGATAAGATTCGATCTCTAGAGATGAACTTGCCCTAGTTACGATGACCATGAAGCCCATGATGATGCAGTCGACTGTTCTCCGCACCAATGCACCAGCATCAGATAACGAGTTCAGTACGCGGGATTGCGCCTTGAGCTGTGGACCAGCCCACGCAGGAAGCAGCAGAGAAGGATTCGAGATAACTGATTGCTATTATTCTTCGCCGAGACAATAACAAACTAGCGGAGCATTAGGTACAGATATGCCTTTTGATATGGGATGCGATTTGTTGGAGAGGTCAGCAGGCTGCCACGTGATGTGCGCAATTGCCTGGACGGATGATGCGATGCTGGACCATTGGAACTGTATTAAGGTATGATAAGGATATCTTGTAAACGTCCCCAGATATCTGAATTTCCCCATGGCACTTGCATATTTAAATGGTTTCAATGAGACCCGTGCGCTGTTGTTGAAGCAGGTATCCCAATATTACTTTATACATTTTCAAAATGCCTGCGAAGGTAGTCCCAGACCTGGAGCCGTATGTTCCGCCTCCACAGACCAAGGAAAACTGTAGAGAACACCTCCCTAATGCAGTTATCTTCAAGCGTTACTAATAACTGTGGCTAGTGGACTGGGCTGAGCTGGAGGCTCTCGACATCTCCCGATTAGATCAACCCGGAGGCAAGGAGGCTTTGGCCGAACAAGTGCTGAGATTCATCAACAAGAATGGTAGAAACTTGGCTGACTTTTCAAATGGAATGTAAAATGCTGACGAGATAAGGATTCTTCTACGTCACCGGGCATGGCCTCACAGACGAGCAGATCAACCGCCAGTATGCCATCGGCAAGGCCTTTTTCCGGCTGCCACTGGAAGAGAAGATGAAATATCTGTGTAACACGGCCGTTGGAGATTTCCGTGGATACAAACCGCGGTCGACTGGGGAACTCAGCTCGAGGGATAACGACGAACGCTACAATATTCCCAAGTTCACGCCAGAGCACGAACGACCACACCCGCAGCTGATCCTGGACCATTACGAGGAGATCAAAGAGTTTTCATTGGTAAGTCCATTACTCGAGGCTAGGTATATTGATCTGACTTCAATTCCAGCACATCCATAACAAAATTCTCCTACCACTGCTGCGACTGTTCGCGTACGTGCTGGAAATCGACGAGGACTACCTCGTCAACCTCCACCGGTACGAGGAGAAAGGACTCGAATACCTGCGCTACATGCAGTACTATCCTCGCACAGCTGAGGAAGACCGCAAACTGGGCAACATCTGGGCCCAAGGCCACACGGACTACAACACGCTCACCTTCCTCTTCTACCAGCCAGTGGCGGGCCTGCAGGTGCTGACTACAGACGGCACCTGGAAATACGTCAAGTCGGAGCCGGGATCTATTATCGTCAACATTGCCGATGCGCTGGAGTTTCTGAGCGGTGGCTTCCTGAAGTCGACCGTCCATCGAGTCGTGCGGCCGCCGAGTGACCAGGCTGATAAGCCGCGACTTGGACTGATATATTTCGCACGTCCAGAGGCGGCGGTACGGATGAAGCCGGTGAAAAGCCCGCTGCTGGAGAGACTGGGCATCCAGATTCCAGAGTCAGAGAGGAAGGCTTTGGAGGGGATCACTGCGGAGGGTGAGTATTCTAGGACGCTCGTTTGTATGGCGCAATTCTTCTAACACATTCAAATGCAGAATGGGCGAGGGCCCGTATAGCAAAGGACCACCGTTTTCGCACTGGAGTTGTTAACCATCGCGAGACGGAGATTATTGCTGGTGTTTACCAGAAATACTACGATTGATAGGAGAAATAAAAAAAAAGGAAAGAAAAAAATTTTTTTCTTATAATATGTCTTCGCTTACCAGATACGTATCTAATAAAATAAACACATCTAAAATAGTATTACGATATATAAGTCCATTACTAAAGCCATCATTCAGTATCGAATCAAAACCGCGAATGAAATACCCAAAAGCACCTGAGGGGATGCCCTAGCGACGATGTAGACACGTTGTAGTGACATTATGAATCGTCCAGCCTCGCTAAAAGTACAGCAAGCAGGTGGCGTCTAAAACACTCGTCTAGTACATTAATACGAGGCGTCATGGCAATCGACTGGATGGGATAGCATGTCGAGACTAGTGCAGCGCTAGCATTGCTTTATACATGCATTAGCAGGCGAGAGGGGTAACCAATCCGCTCTAGCTAGCATCATGCACCGTTATCAACATCATTAATACTATCACAAATTATTTCTTCACATCTAACACTGATTTCTGATCGCCAATGCCGTCGGCCAAGTTTCGCGCTGCCGCCGTCCACGCAACGCCCGAGTACATGAACAAGGCTGCCACCACGACCAAGGTGCTGCGCTTGATCGAGCAGGCTGCCCAGCAGTCCATCACGCTGCTGGTGTTTCCCGAAGTCTTCATCCCTGGTTTCCCAGTGAGACTCGCTTCAGATCGTTCTTATGCTCAACTTGGAATATGTCTGTACAGTACATTACTGCTACTGCTACTGACCAGGAGACTTGCTAGTACTTCATCAACTGCTATCCCCCGCTGAAACAAGTCGACGCCATAGTCCAGTATCGGCAGCAAAGCGTCGCCGTCGATGGGGAAGAAATCGCGCAGATCCGCAGCGCCTGTCGCGCGTTCGGCGTGTCGATCAGCCTGGGCATCTCCGAGCGCATGTCCGACGGCAGGTCCACGCTCTTCAACTCGCAAGTCTTCATTGACACCGACGGGACGATCCTGGGGGTCCATCGCAAGATCCAGCCTACCTTTGCGGAGCGATATCTCTGGGGGCAAGGCGACGGCTGGACGCTGAGGACGTTCGATACCAAGGCCGGGTATAAGCTGGGAGGGTTATGCTGCTGGGAGCATACGATCAATGGCGCGAGACAAGCCTTAATTGCTGACAACCAGCATGTCCATGCGGCCGCATGGCCCTCGCTGTCGACCCTTGCCGGGTTTGAAGACGTGGCGGACACGCAGATCGAGGCGCTGATGAAGACGCACGCACTGACAGCCCAGGTGTTTGTCATCTGCGCATCCAACTACGTCGACGAGTCGTGTCTACAGTGGCTGCGCAAGAATCTGGGCGAGACGGATCTCGTCAAGGCCGGAGGAGGCTGGTCAGCCATCATCCACCCCTTCTGCGCCTACCTGGCCGGACCGGTCACGGGCGAGAGGGAGGAGCTGCTCACGGCGGAGATCGATCTCTCGCAGCTGGAGGGCGTCAAGCTGTGGCTGGACGGGGCAGGCCATTCCTCGCGGCCGGAAATCTTGCAGTTCAGCGTCAACCGTCGGCCTGTGTGGGCGGACGAAAAGGAGGACAAGACCTCTGGTTGGACTCTTCCTGCGCCTGTTCCGAATGAGGATGGGGGAGAAAAGTCGCAGTAGTCAAGTCTATAAATCGAATCAGAATGACATTTCGAGTGATCTATTAGTGAGCGAGAACCACATAATGACCTACTACAGTACTTACAGACCAGCAGAGCATTGGACCATATGAAATATGTCAGAGTATGCCTTCTTATTATCTATCATTGGATTAACTTTCATTCCTCCTTACTATTGATGCAATGCCGTATATATCTTAGTGTTTATGGTGCCAGTATCGGACTAAACATTCTCTGACATCTAAGTGTATGTAGGAAATAGTAGACAAACGTAATCTATATGAGAGCAGTTGCGTGACATATTATCAAATAAACGTTTTAATTATTTAATTACATAAAAAAAGAAAGGAAAGAAAAAGAAAAGAGAAAAAAAAAAGGAAGAGAGAGGACCTTGTCATTGATTGAGGAATAATCTCCGAAACTGAATCAACACGATTTGCTTCGTTGATCGAGATATGCGATGCAGCCAGTAGAAACAAAAAATACAATATGGTACAATGGCTTTAAAATATCAAATCGGATTGATAAATAAATTAAACATATTCGCGGTCCATATGATAAAAAAATACAATGGTAGAAATATGACATAAGATAGAAAAGGATTTAAGTGCGGGGTAAAATATATATATTTAGGACTTGTGGCAGCGAATCTCACAGCCCATCAATCACTCGCGTACCTACATCGTTCCCAGTAGCTTAGGGGAAACTTTATACCTGATTAATGAATATTTATCCCACATATACTGCGATTCCTTGGTATTGACGTTGTACTGTTGAGGTTTGACTGTACTCCGTGTGCTCTGCCAGATGCACCGCTAAGTCCGCCTAACCCCGCTGTTAATACCGGCGGAAATTAGAGAGCAATATCTATGGAGTAATGCCATCAAACTAATTCATCAAGATGTGGAGAAAAGAGTGGACCGGTGGAAATGATGCTAGTAGCACCCCGCTCTATGCAATCGTTATTTGACTTGTCTGACCATAGCACGTCGTCCTCCGAGTATTTATTTACCGGTCCGTTCCAGTGGTATACCTTTGCTTTTTGTGTAACTACTTCAAGATACCCTTTCCTCTCTGCGTAAATCCTGCCTACACGTGAGTAATTTCAGTGTGAATACTTCTGCCGTCAATATGAGCGCTCCTGAACTCCCCCGCTCTCTCAAGGAGAGCGTCGAGGCCACCAAGGTCTCCTATGCCCAACTAGGATCGTCCGGACTCCGGGTCTCAGTCCCCATCCTAGGTGGCATGTCCTTCGGGCACAAGGACTGGCGGCCCTGGGTGGTCGACAACGAGGAAGAAGTCGAGAAGCTGCTCAAGGGGGCCTATGACCGGGGCCTGAACACCTGGGATACGGCCAATATGTACTCAGCCGGTGTCAGCGAGGAGATGATTGGCCGCGTGATCAAGAAATACAACATCCCACGGCATAAACTGGTCCTCCTGACGAAATGCTATTTTGTGGTTGGAGAAGAACCGAGTGTCAGGGAGGCGGACTTTCCGACCGAAATCCGCAACAGCAAGGACTATGTCAACCAGAGGGGCCTGTCAAGAGCGGCCATTTTTAATGCTGTCGAGGCGTCATTGAAGCGCTTGCAGACGGACTACATTGATGTTCTTCAGATTCACGTATGTCTGCCTGAGAACGTTCAGAAGATCAAATAGACCTTGACTCGAAGATATACTGACTCCCGCAGCGATACGACTACACCGTCCCGCCAGAGGAGACGATGAAAGCTCTCCACGACCTAGTTCAGTCCGGCAAGGTGCGCTACATCGGGGCGAGCTCGATGTGGACATGTAAGTGCGATATCACCCGTTATCATTGCTCAATATTCTGACATTCTCCTTCGCAGACCAATTCGCCCGCCTGCAGCACATAGCCGAAAAGAACGGCTGGACCAAGTTCATCAGCATGCAGAACCACTACTCGCTGCTGTACCGCGAGGAGGAGCGCGAGATGAACCGGTACTGCCGCGAGACTGGCGTGGGTCTGATCCCTTGGGGGCCGCTGTACAGCGGTGTGCTCGCACGACCACTCGACCAGCAGGGGCAGACGACGCGGTCTAGCACCTCGCCCAGGGAGCTGACTGAGGCGGACAAGGTGATCGTCCAGCGCGTCCAGGAGCTGGCAGAGAAGAAAGGCTGGAAGATGAGCCAGGTGGCGCTGGCCTGGATCATTCAGAAGGGGACCATCCCCATTGTTGGCTTCAGCAATCTCGACCGGCTGGATGAAGCTGTTGCCGTGCGTGGCAAGACGCTGACGGACGAGGAGGTCAAGTACCTGGAGGAGCCGTATCAGCCGAAGAATGTTATAGGGCACTCGTAGAGTACGAGTGTTCGGAATAGTAACACGTATTTTGTGCCAATGTAATACTCTTGATTACGAAAACTAAATAGAATTGCAATATTTATGTGAATTGCTCACAGTTTAATGACAACCGCGTCGGGGGTTTTGACAGAGTCAAATATGCCGCGTGAAGTCGACGAAGATCGGGATGATGGACGACAGGCAGACAACGTTTGGAAAATTGGATTCAGGTAAGTTACTCGCGGACCTTGTAGTTTTATAACATACATAAGTGATTGTAACTATACCAGATTGAAGAATTATGTGTGGTGATTTGTCGTTTTTCATACTCATTTTATTAGATCACTTCATTCCAATATATAGATCATTAATAAAGTTGATTATTGACGTCAGAAAATAATCACGGAGCATTGCAGGGTTTTCTGATTAGGTTATAATATGATAATGCCCAGCTACTGGTTAATCCTTAGCTGCAGGTCTCGACGTAACGCTCTCCATGGTGAATCCAGATGATATAACATCTCCCTCCTCGACGACAAACACCGACGTCCCCGTATAATACGCTTGACCCTCCACCTGGACCACCACGCCATCTTCCGAGACGCCTTTTGCGCCAGGAATCTTGACCTTCTCGACAATCTCCGCACAGAACGCGCCTGTGCCGAAGAAGTTCGACACCAGAGAATGATAGGCCCACCGCTGACCAACTGGTCTTACTCCCTTGGCATGGGCCAGCGCCATCCGGGCAGTCACACACGACCCTGTGGGTGATCGATCAATCTCATTGTCTGCAAAGAAGCACAATCCTGTCTCGGCACCCGCCACGTCCGCTGGCTTCGTCCCCAGGTTTTGCTCGACAATCATGACAGAGTACAGAAACGAGAGGCGCTTGTCTTCTGGGTGTTGGATGGCAGCAACGACGTCCGGATGCGTAGTCAGATATGGCTTCAGCTTGCGAATGCAGCGCGTGACATCGTCGAGGTCGACGTCCTTCAGACCGTTTGCAAAGCCCAGTTCTTGGGCAGTAACAAGCGCATAGTATGCTCCGCCATAGCTGATATCAAGAACGATGGACTCTCGTCCATTCAGCTCTGGCCAGCGGACCTCCGGAGGGATGGGCACCTCCATCTGGATGGCTGCTGCAAAGCCGGGGGTCGAAAGAAACTTGACCGGCCGCGAGGGATCGGATTTCTTCCCATCCGGGGTGGCAGGCACAGTGACACGTACCAGTCCACACGGTGCATGAAGGTTGATATCGATCGTCTGAGTGACTGGATCCAGCTTGAGTTCG